CCCAGGGGGAAACGTGAGACCCCAGGGTCATGAAATTCATAATTTTGGTAAAGCACCTTAAGACCCTTCCGTCTATGAAGAGTATTTGATTCTACCATATCTGGGTCTCGAGAAGAAGATTTTTGAAATTTCAGTCAATTTGACCCTTTTTGTCCCCACCCATCAGCCCCGGGGGGGTCATTCAGGGCTGATATGTGTATACCATCAAACTGCTATCCAATTCTGATAATGCTAACCTAAATTGAACTACTTCATATGGAAATTAAACAAATGTTGGTCCAAAATGTGATTTCCATAAATAAACTATAGTAAAGTTTACCCCCTCCCCAGGGGGAAACGTGAGACCCCAGGGTCATGAAATTCATAATTTTGGTAAAGCACCTTAAGACCCTTCCGTCTATGAAGAGTATTTGATTCTACCATATCTGGGTCTCGAGAAGAAGATTTTTGAAATTTCAGTCAATTTGACCCTTTTTGTCCCCACCCATCAGCCCCGGGGGGTTCAGTCAGGGCTGATATGTGTATACCATCAAACTGCTATCCAATTCTGATAATGCTAACCTAAATTGAATTACTTCCAATGGAAATTAAACAAATGTTGGTCCAAAATGTGATTTCCCTATATAAACTATAGTAAAGTTTACCCCCTCCCCAGGGGAAACATGAGACCCTAGAGTCAAGAAAGTCACAATTTTGGTAAAGCACCTTAACCTCTCAGACCCCTGGGGGCTGGGGACCAAATCAGCCACTATTTTTGTTGACCTTTAGCCATGGAAGGTTTCTGCAAAATTTCATTGAAATTGGTTCAGGAGTTTTGGAGAAGAAGTCGAAAATGTAAATTGTTTACAGACGCATGACAGACGCCGCTGGACAAAAGGCGATCGCAATAGGTCACTTGAGACTTTGTCTCAGCCTCAGGTGGCCTAATAAAGTTAAAAAACTTGACTGGGCTGGTTTTCCGGACAAATTACTTACCAAGTATCATTTCTCTCTTCATGCCAATCTGATTGCACTTATTTAACCGACAGTATGGACAAAACCGCCTTGTTCGTACATCTATACTGCAGTTTCCTTGGAATAAGCACTTGAGTGACTGAGAATTAAGAAAAATAAATTGGTAAGCAAAATTGATGACAAATTAAAACGTTCATAAAAATAAACATCTTATTTCTAAAAGGCCACAAGATTTCAAGCTACATTTCATTTCCTTAATAGAGATATCCTACAATTAAGAAGGTAGTCCAACCGATCATTGATTATGAAAATTCAACCGTTTCCAGGCACCACTAGTAATAAATAGCCTGTGTATGGTTATTAGCATGTCTGTTAGAATGTGTAGAAATTAACACAGTTAAAACACCTACCCCGGGTAGCTGACACATTAAAATAAAGTTTTTGAAAAATATTGCAATATATGTACATTTTATTGATGTTTATTGTATTGTGATATATGTTGCAATATATCGGTTTTCCAAAATATTGTGACTCCGCTAGATGTTTTCGTTACTACTCCAGATCTTTTTGTCACACAGTCAACCATAGCTGTCATCACGTCAGGTGACACATGGACTGCTGGAACCCTACGAAATCACTTGGGTATTGATAGGGTCGAGTGATGGCACTCATCACACCATGACAATATAATCAGTTATTTATGAAAACCAACCAACCATACATAAGAAATTCATCCAGACAGCCTTTCTATTTTCTTTGAAAGTTTACGATTTTTTTCCTTAGACCAAACAAAAAATATTTGGTGTTTCCAGTAACCCTACCTACCCTAATTTTTTGTGCCTTCCCTAAACTTTTAAATTTTCAAAGAAGCACTGTTAATGTCAAAATAACTCTCATATATAAACTATATATAATTATTTGCTAAAATATAATTTGTTACCTACATTGTACCTACCTTAAATTTTTGCAATATGTTACAGGAAACACATATATATATTTTTTTGACTGGCCTTATAAAGATCTTTCTCAAATGCTTTCTCAATTTTGGACATTTTGTGTCAAAACTTTTCAAGAAAAAGGGTAAAATCTTTCAACACTGATCAATTTCAGACCAAAACAATCATCCCCATTACCCAAATAGTGTGTTCTCCCTATACTGTAGATTAATCCTGTTTTACACACATATTGTTCAATGGGCTTGCCAATTCTATACTTATTTGCAAGGATTTCATGCTGCGTTTCACTCAACCAGTATGGATAATGACATAAATATTTTTTAATGTGACACTTGAATTCAGGAATTACCCGGTACAGTGAATTTACTTTTAAGTAAATATAATTTTAAATATGAATCTTCTAAAAATATTAATGGGGAAAACATTTTTTGCTAATAATTATTGATGGTTGTCTTTCACTTGAGAAATCAGCTTGGTAATGAGTTCTATTTGTATTAACTCATTCACCCCTGAACACACATTTGAGCTCTTCCAATTTGAAGGTTGGAATAGTTCATTATGAAATTTCAGGGGTGAATGAGTTAAAGCAGTTCAATATCTATTTACAATATTATAGGACTAAACTTAGGTATCCAAGATTCATATTTATTTTGCTTTCGTCCAGTTGGCATTCACATTGCTTATGAATGCCAAGACGTAGTAGTTCAATACTTATTTACCATATTAGGACTTATTCAAATCTCTACAAAAATTAAACTGATCAAAATTCAGCATTTAGTCTAATTGAGTGTACGGTGTCATGTACATACATACTTGCTCAATTAATAGAACAGCTATAATAATCAATGGAGCAGGTATGTAATGTTACATTTATATCGATGATGACATCAACAATACAGCCATATGGGATTCATAACCGATATGAATGCCATCTGAACTGTGTAAGGTTGATTTGTGGTATTTCCTTAGAGTAGTAAATAAGTGGCTGTTTTTGGAAAAGCTTTTATACCAGAATGTAAAAACATCAGGACAAAATCGGAACTCTATTTGATACGAAAATAAACTTGACGACAGGAAATGAGGTGACACTCACTGAATCAAGAGGAGAAACACCTGATGCCTGCAAAAGCTTTGATAAGAAACTAGGTCATCAAGGAGAGTAAGGCTTTACTACACCACATGTATCACCCTCGTGTTGTCTCGTGTCAGGACAATATCACGAAAGACCTTAGACAGAGCCGATTCTAACAACAGTAAGACAGGGAAATTGCACTGCAATGACTGGAAATCAGGTCATCAGTTCAGTGTGGGCTCAGTGAAAATGTCTCCTGTCATCAACTCTAAATAACAGTATTAGAAGACCACAACAGACAATGTCCTCCTTCAGGCTATCCCTAGTGTATACTTGTATATCTATAAAATATGAAACCAAGTCATTTATCATGCTCAAGATCATTCACTACAAAATCAATGAAGAAGAATGGCAGGTAAACACATTTACGTCCCTAAAGCTACCCCAAATCTGAAACAGTGAAGCTACAGAATTTGTTATACCAGTAGAAACATTGGAATCACAACTCTAAAACAACAGCTGTTGGAGAATAGCATAGCCCGCCTATTGGCGATATGTGTTGTGAGATAGCAACTATCAATAGAAACACATATATACAGTCAAACCTCGATATAATGCCCATCATTTCATTCGCCACCTCGCTTACCACCAACATATTTTAAGATTCCTTTATACGTTTCCCTCAATTTATTGCCAAACACCTTTATAATGCCAATATTTCTTCGAATTGGTACATTTCAACAGAAGAGATGACCTGACATGTACAACGGTCAACAGATAGTCAACAGTGTATTGATGGTCGTGACTGATCCGACACTGCACATATGCAGTCTTGCCAAAAAACTTTAACCATGCAAGTCCAATTGACCAGTTTTGGCCCCTAAAATATGAAAATATGGTTCAGCACATTGCTTACACTCCACATAAATGCCTCAACCTTATAATAGACAACAGCCTATTGAGAGTGATAATCCAACAGTGTCTGGAAAAAAAAATGCCCAAAAACTTAAACCTCAGTGAAGTGGGACGCCAACGCCTACGCCAACGCCAGGGTGACTACATTAGACCGCCAGGTTCAGCACATTGCTTACACTCCACATAAATGCCTCAACCTTATAATAGACAACAGAGAGTGATAATCCAACAGTGTCTGGGAAAAAAAATGCCCAAAAACTTAAACCTCAGTGAAGTGGGACGCCAACGCCTACGCCAGGGTGACTACATTAGACCGCCCCCCCCCATTCTCTGTATAGGCGAGCTAACTAGATTGTCTAACCCAGATTGGTCTTTAACCGTTTTCACATTCCATGGGAACAAATGCCACATAAGCCATATTTAGGTATCTATTGCTTTGTTTAGACGTAATAAAGGCCCCAGGCATGGGTAAATGACAAGAAGGGCGCCTTTAATTAAACACATTTTGTCCTTGATAAGCCTTGTTGTTTCACTATTTTCCCACTCCACATGTAGTCAGAACAAATTTTTTCTTGATCCCACTCATGCAGGGATTTTCCCATTAATAAAACAGTACCGTATTCACCGCACTTAGTGCCCACGGGGCTTCAAAACTGCCTTAAAAGAGGCGTTTATTAGGATATGAGAGTTATGATAGAAAAAGTTGTGCAGCTTCAACTGTTATCACTAAAGGACATTATAAACATCCCAGTGTGGCTGGAGGTTTGAAAATAACGTTTTTCATCCGCTTCAGAGGAAGTCCTGCCATGATCACCAGACATAAATCTCCCTGCTTTAAAGTATAAGTAACTATTAATCATTGATTGGGCCTAGTCAGGTCTGGGAGGGGGTCTATATAGTTTCAGTTCCTCCTGAGGAGAGGGGCGCTTCAAGGGGGAGGAGCGCTAATAACGGTGAATACGAATTCTGAAAGAATGCATCAGTCACTGTTTTAGCAGATAATTGTCAATGGCAGTATTGTTTTTATCAGTACATTGCCATTTTGATGGCAGAAGTTGCCAAATTTGCCCCTAGACCTTAAAGCTACAGGTCATGTTTTATTAGAACCTGTGTTACAAACCTAGCTATAGATCATGTTTTATTTGAACCTATATGGTATTTCCTGACTGTCTGTTACACTGTTTAAGACCTACAGGTCATGTTTTACTAGAACCTGTGTTACAAACCTAGCTATAGATCATGTTTTATCTGAACCTATATGGTATTTCCTGACCGTCTATCACACTGTTTTAGACCTACAGGTAATGTTTTACTAGAACCTGTGTTACAAACCTTGCTATAGATCATGTTTTATCTGAACCTATATGGTATTTCCTGACTGTCTATCATACTGTTTTAGACCTACAGGTAATGTTTTACTAGAACCTGTGTTACAAACCTGGCTATAGATCATGTTTTATTTGAACCTATATGGTATTTCCTGACTGTCTGTTTCACCGATTTATACCTATACAGGTAATGTTTGAACAATTATCTATATTGGAATTACGCCAAAATAGAAATATTCTTGCAGTTTATTGATTTAGAACTTCAAAGTATAGGGAAAAAACAAGCAGGCATATTCCATGTTCATAGGAAAATCAAAAGACAATTAATTAAAGACTAACCTGGTCTTTTAAAGCATTTCGTCGAAAGAACGCCTTGCAGGATTCGCAAGTAACAGCATTGAAGTTGTACCCTAGAGCCCTATCCCCACACACAAGGCAGTATTTCTCATGTTTGAACTTTTTGTACTTTTTGACAGGAGAGCTCGTCAGAGAGCCCTCCTTGTCACTATGATAATTGTCCTGATAGCCTTGAAATGAGTCTGCCATGCCCGAACTGCTGGTTGGAAGCGAGTGATCTATGTCTGGCTGGGCTCTGGTCGTATGTGACTGTGAGCTGGCCGAGCTCTGGGAGGGCTCGGACTTGTTGAAGTCATCAGGGTGGAGAGGGTCTTTGGGCGAGTTGCCCCGTGTTTCCTGCTTTACATTGCTTGATGAACTTACATCCAGTTGAGAGACCTGGAACAAAAACAGAATACGTTAAAACATAAAATATACCACTATCATAAATATAGGATCTTACATGAGTTTAGGCGAGCTAAAATGAAAAATTTGGACGACTTCATCACGGCTTCAACATGTAAAAACATTGCTGTTTGTTACCAATTGTATTGTTTTGGTTTGCAACAATAGGGAAGGACAAACTTGTCCATGTTAACCTTAATTATGTCCAGCCACCACGACATGACACCACGCTCTCCTGACGAAACTAAAGAAAGTATGTTGAGCAATCCTCAATGGCCGAATCAAATCTATTTGTGTTTTATCTGTGGTTTGCATGTGTCAGCTAAGGTTTAACGGAGAAGAAAAATAAGATCTCTTGCTAAATCGGCTTAACATGCATGTGCATTGATTTATGGATTGTCTTGCTTAGATGTGATGAATTATTTTTAGATTTCACAGGATTCTACTTAAAATTCATCATCATTTAAATGACTTATTGATCTAAACTTACAATTAAAGCAAAATACACCTTCAGAATCAACACTTATATTTCGTTTTGTGCCAAACAGACATTCAATGTTATATAGTCAACATGTAAATTCTTATTTTATTTTATTTTAACAAAAGTTATTTTCTGCAATTTCTTTTTGCTATGATACAATAGATCAAATATCGATTTGTTGAGAATATCAGTTAGAATAATCCAAAGAATCACATTATCTGTTTTGGTTATTTGGCAACTCAACTTAAGTAGTCATGTCAAACAGCTAATATCATTACAGAAAATTCTGAGCTAATTAATTTGTTTCATCACTATGCCAGCAAGTTGAGTATAAAAGATTTTTTACAAAAATGGCACCGGAAAAAATATCGCAAGATGTATCACAATAGATAGCACCTGCATTGCAATATATTGTTGTGGCGCCAACCCTGTATCATGACAGGATCATATGAAGATAGGTGCATAGCCAGACACTGCTGGAAAAAGAAAGACAGGAACGAAAGGAAACGAAAAAGATCCGATGTGTTGGAATGGGGGTAGTAGATCCATTTTGGTCCAGGACGTTCGTGTCCTCTTCGTAGCAGACACAGAAGAAAAACCCCGATTTTGCAGGAGGCCCCACATCAGTCGCCTCTTACGATACAGATGCAGTGGGTCTTATTCTTGGCTTCTTTACTAAATCCCCTAAACAGAAGAAAAGGAAGAATCCCCCACCTGCTTTTACTGTCTCAAACAACAATTTACAGAACTTAGACAAACCAACAACAGCAAAAATTGTTACACATGGGTGTTTCCCCGAACAGTTTTTGATTGATGCACAATGTATGTAACTTGATGGAACTGGTTACCATAAAAACATAACCTTGTTTCTGCAAAACTGACTGTTCCACCATTTTGTAAAACTGTTAAAAATTCCACATGAACTGAAAAAAAACACCAAGAAAAATGAAATACAACATTTACTTGTACAGGTAGTCCCAGTGTGATAGTGTTCAGTCTAGATAGGTTTTACAGTCCCAGTGATGTTCAGTCTTGATAGGTTTCACAGTCCAGTATAGTGTTCAGTCGATCTAGCTAGGTTTTACAGTCCCAGTGATGGTCAGTCTAGATAGGTTTTACAGTCCCAGTGATTTTCAGTCTAGATAGGTTTCACAGTCTCAGTATAGTGTTCAGTCTAGATAGGATTTACAGTCCCAGTGATGTTCAGGCTAGATAGGTTTCACAGTCCCAGTAGTGTTCAGTCTAGATAGGTTTTACCGTCCCAGTGATGTTCAGTCTAGATAGGTTTCACACTCCCAGTGTGATAGTGTTCAGTCTAGATAGGTTTTACAGCCCCAGTGATGTTCAGTCTAGATAGGTTTTACAGTCCCAGTATAGTGTTCAGTCTAGATAGGTTTTACCGTCCCAGTGATGTTCAGTCTAGATAGGTTTTTCCGTCCCAGTGATGTTCAGTCTAGATAGGTTTCACACTCCCAGTGTGATAGTGTTCAGTCTAGATAGGTTTTACCGTCCCAGTGATGTTCAGTCTAGATAGGTTTTTCCGTCCCAGTGATGTTCAGTCTAGATAGGTTTTACCGTCCCAGTGATGTTCAGTCTAGATAGGTTTCACAGTCTCAGTATAGTGTTCAGTCTAGATAGGTTTCACACTCCCAGTGTGATAGTGTTCAGTCTAGATAGGTTTCACAGTCTCAGTATAGTGTTCAGTCTAGATAGGTTTCACAGTCCCAGTGATGTTCAGTCTAGATAGGTTTCACAGTCCCAGTATAGTGTTTAGTCTAGATAGGTTTCACAGTCCCAGTATAGTGCTCAGTCTAGATAGGTTTCACAGTCCCAGTAGTGTTCAGTCTAGATAGGTTTTACAGTCCCAGTGATGTTCGGTCTAGATAGGTTTCACAGTCCCAGTATAGTGTTTAGTCTAGATAGGTTTCAGAGTCCCAGTATAGTGCTCAGTCTAGATAGGTTTCACAGTCCCAGTAGTGTTCGGTCTAGATAGGTTTCACAGTCCCAGTGATGTTCAGTCTAGATAGGTTTCACAGTCCCAGTGATGTTCAGTCTAGATAGGTTTTACAGTCCCAGTGATGTTCAGTCTAGATAGGTTTCACAGTCCCAGTATAGTGTTCAGTCTAGATAGGTTTCACAGTCCCAGTGGTGTTCAGTCTAGATAGGTTTCACAGTCCCAGTAGTGTTACGTTAAGACAGGTCTTAATTTATAATACACAAACTAACTGCAGATTAAACTTTAACATATCTTTCTTGGCATTATTTTCATCAGTCATTTCATAAGAAGGAAATTATAGTTTCCACATATAACTCATTGATCCACAATGGCGTATTCTGTTGCCGGAAACAGTTTTGGATTCATGACTTCTGAAATATCAACATTTCAGATTGAAGAGTTAAATAAATTTTCTTTGGTACAAGTCAAAATTTAAAAGTTAAAATTACCCTTGAAATTTCATAATGAACTATTCCAGCCTTTGAACTGGAAGAGTTAAAATGTGTCTTCAGCGGTGAATGTGTTAACAAGGTTTAATTAATCCTCAAAGATTCTTTCCCAGATCTACAATGTACATCTGTTCAGCTTAATGTTACTCCATTACTTACCGGATAATACATGAGCCAAGTCTAATGTACTTTCTTTTATATGTGTGTTGTTATTCTACCAGCTGGTAGTCAACATTTTAGTCACTTATCTTTCCAGATTAAACTTGACCTATTTTAGGACACTATTGTACATGCCATATATATCTTACAGCAGAGTATATGTGTACCTACAAGTAACCTCACTAAATATTTAAATGTTCATACCATATTTCACCTTTGGTCTTTAACGTTATACATGTACATGATCACCTGTAGCACATTTACATGTAGGTCCTATATATAAAGAAATACTAATTGACTACCAAAGTGAAAAAACAAAATTTAAAAATACAGTACTATCTATAGTATAATTAACTCATTCACCCCTGAAATTTCATAATGAACTATACCATACTCTGTTTAGACTTTATTTAGCTGTTGACCTTAACTGACCTTATTGTTGACCTGAATAGACCTTAATTAGCTGTTGACCTTACTTGACCTTATCGTTGACCTGAATAGACCTTATATATAATTAGCTGTATACCTTAACTGACCTTATTGTTGACCTGAATAGACCTTAATTATTAGCTGTTGACTTTTTGACCTTATTGTTGACCTGTATAGACCTGAATTAACCTGTTGACCTTAACTGACCTTATTGTTGACCTGTATAGACCTTAATTACCTGTTGACCATAACTGACCTTAAGCTTATTGTTGACCTGAATTAACATGTTGACCTGAATAGACCTTAATTAGCTGTTGACCTTAACTGACCTTATTGTTGACCTGAATTAACATGTTGACCTGAATAGACCTTAATTAGCTGTTGACCTTAACTGACCTTATTGTTGACCTGAATTAACATGTTGACCTGAATAGACCTTAATTAGCTGTTGACCTTAACTGACCTTATTGTTGACCTGAATTAACATGTTGACCTGAATAGACCTTAATTAGCTGTTGACCTTAACTGACCTTATTGTTGACCTGAATTAACATGTTGACCTGAATAGACAGACCTTAATTAGCTGTTGCAAGGACATTAAACTATAATCAAATATGTCCAATGCCTTACGATATCTGGTATGTGAATTGGAACTGTCCAGTGAATCAAATGGGTGTGACTGATATATAAACTGGTGATCCTTACTTACACCTTTTACTGCGACAAAGTGCGCCTTTAGCGTATTCAACATAATTATAGTGCCCCTCCTCCTTTTTAGGGAGGAAGTGAAATCATATAGACCCCGCTCCCCATCTCAGACCTGAACAGGACCGACAATGATTTATAGTAGTAACAATTCAAAGCAGAGACTTCCCATGAAGCTGATGAGACAGTTGATTTCCAAACCTCCAGCCACATTGGAATATTTATAATGTCATTCCCTGTTAACAATGGTTGAAGTTGCATAACTTATTCTATCATAAACCCTATTTCATTTTCCTCATTAGCACTCCCATCCTGGGTGCTTATAACAGTAAAATACAATAATCAAGCAAAGAAGCCCCAGGCGAGTGACCTGTATATATATTACCTTTATTTCAATGCTGTCGGCAAATATGTGTATAATCTGTGACCTTCATATCAAGTCTATGACAAATTTACTTAAGGAAGTTGATACCAAACAAGGACCTATACATTTTCAAAGCTGTAACAAAAATGCCACTTAATGCTACCTTAAAAGTGGGTCAAATTCATTCATTTGAACAAACCTGATAGCCCACAGTCCCAATATGTGGCTTCTAAAATATCATCATTCCATCTAAAGGTTTCCTGATGACAAAGAAGTTGTAGGGGTGTTTACTTACACTGTATGTAACCTTTACCCCAGCCCTATAACCTTGAAAGAAAGTCAATATCACTACTTTTGTTTACTGTGTTCTGGTGAAATATCAAATATTTACCATTCTCAAGTCATGATCATAGAATTTAGGACTTGCACACCGGTTATAGACAATAGGTCCAAGAGATCGATAGACCTACTAAAGTTTTGACAGACCAGACCTTGACCAGGAAATTTTTACTTTTTAATGTTCATGAATTAAAGGAAATATGTGCACGTGTAATTACTGATAATGAAGGAATAGAAGTAATTTCACTGACAACTTTTGCACTCGATACTATACTTCCATGGAATTAAATTCATCAAATGAAATAAATTAAAAGACAACTTGGTCTATGAAGTTAATTATTCAAAAAGGCCTACAGTATGTCTATGGGCCAGGTCAACCATTAAATTTGAACACTGATTTCTCATGAAATAAATATATATGGTAACTGTTAAAGAAACCAAGGATATCTTCTAATATCTTAATAAATGGAAAGTGGATATGATGAGGAGAAAACTTTAAAGTAGACATACATGTATTTATCAAAATCCATAATATGTTCAGGAAACTGGAAAGGATGTTTAAGGTGTTAAAATGGTATTAAATAAGCTAAATAACTAGAACACTGACAGGTCAGTAAGGGCCCCGTTTTGTGGCAATATATCCACCATAATCATCAAGAAGCAATCTGCCCATATAGCTGAGCTTGACGTCTGATATTTGGACTTCAAAAAGAATCACAAGCAAGCAAAATATACATTTAACATGTACTATGATGTGAGTCTTGTTTCCTTTCACCTCCATATTTGATAGGCTAACAGAAATGTAAATACCGGTGCAATACTCATTTGTTAGCTTTGATATGTTTTATTTCACTTTAAATACCTCCTACATCAAGAGCCAGGGTCGAAGTCAGAGATCCATTTTGTCTTTGACATTTGGACCCAAATGACCTTGACCTTTAACCCAGTGACCCTGATCTTTGGTCAGTTGACTTATTCTTTGATTCAGACCAACTTTGCTTCATAATATCATAACGAAATGTTCATCAGGGAAAAGATACAAAAATTGACCATGACCTTTGACCCAGTGACCTTGACCTTTGGTCAATTGACTCCTTGTTTAATTCTGAGCGACATTGCTTCAAAGCATCATAACGAAATATTCACCAGTGGAAAGATACAAAATTTAACCTTGACCTTTGATCCAATGACCTTGACCTTTGTTCAGTTGACTCCTTATTTAATTCTGACCAACATTGCTTCATAGTGTCATTACAAAATGTTCATCAGTGAAAAAATGCAAAAATAGACCTTGACCTTTGAACCAAATGACCTTGACCTTTGACCTAGACTTTTTACCTCAGTGTGTCTCTTTGTTTAATTTTGACCAACTTTGCTTCATAATGTCATAAACTGCTCATTAGTGAAAAGCTGCAAAAATTGACCTTGACCTTTGACCTAGACCTCTGACCCGATAACCTTGACCTTCAGTCAGTTGACTCCTTGTTTAATTCTGATCAACTTTGCTTAATCATGTCATAACAAAATGCTCATCAGTGAAAAGATGCAAAATTTGACCTGGACCTTTGAACCTTATGACCTTGACCTTTGACCTTGACTTTTTACCTGAGTGTGTATTTTTGTGAACTGAACATCTTGATCAAGTTTCATGTAAATCGGTCAATTAATATTAAAGTTTTTAGCCAGGCACAAAATTTGTGGACGGACAGACAGACAGACAGACACACAGAGTGATTACTATAGGGCACCCGTATCTCCGATACGGGGCCCTAATAATAAAAGGCTATATTAACCCATTCATCCCTTAAGTCACATTTGAACCTTTCCAAATCAATGGCTAGGTTTAAATATGTAGGGGTAAATGAGTTAACACTAGCCGACATAAGGCTGAATAAAACATATATGCAAAAAAACATCAGAAGTTGTTGAAAGATTGCATCCTTAAACTCACCCGGATTTCAAATCACGGAGATCATCTGAATTAATCTGTTGTTAGAATTTGAATTTAACATGTCTATCATGGAGATCACCTGAATTAACAAGAGGCCCATGGGCCTTAAACGGTCACCTGATATATTTATACAGAGAGGTGATTTTGTTTTTAACATGAGCAGAAATATTATTCAAAGTGACAAAAAACAATAAAACCACCTTATTCAATATCTAGCATACAGATTTCAGACTAAAAAGTATTTGAAACTAGCACCTCTGATTCTAAACAAGAAAAATGAAGAAATTTTAGCACACTGACTCCTTTGAGCCCAACCCTACAGCCCTTGGGGGTAGGGCTGGCTCAAAATTTTCAAAGTATCAAACTGTCAACTCAAGATTATAATTCCAATCAAGTTATTAACCTGTAATATTCAAAGTATCATCTGCCATTATAAACCATAATAATTTTTGCCCCCCTCCTTCCCCAGGGGGTAAACGTGAGACCCTAGGGTCATAAACCTTAAGACCCTTCCATCTATGAAGAGTATTTGATTCTACCATATCTGGGTCTCGAGAAGAAGATTTTTGAAATTTCAGTCAATTCAACCCTTTTTGGCCCCACTCATCAGCCCTGGGGGGTCAATCAGGGCTGATATGTGCATACTATCAAACTACTACCCAATACTGATAATGCTAACCTAAATTGAATTACTTCCAATGGAAATTAAACAAATGTTGGTCCAAAATGTGATTTCCCTATATAAACTATAGTAAAGTTTACCCCCTCCCCAGGGGGAAACGTGAGACCCTAGGGTCAAGAAATTTACAATTTTGGTAAAGCACCGTAAGACCCTTCCATATATGAAGAGTATTTGATTCTACCATATCTGGGTCTTGAGAAGAAGATTTTTGAAATTTTAGTCAATTTGACCCTTTTTGGCCCCGCCCCTCAGGCCCCTGGGGGCTCAGGACTAAACCGGCCACTATTTTTGTTGACCTTTGTCCATGGAAGGTCCCTGCAAAATTTCATTGAAATTGGTTTTGGGGTTTTGGAGAAGAAGTCGAAAATGTAAATTGTTTACGGACGGACGACGGACGACGGACAACGACGGACAAAAGGCGATCGCAATAGGTCACCTGAGACAAATAAATTGTTAGAATTTGAATTTAACATATCTAAGACCTAGGTCATTATGCAAAATCGGTACATGATGAAAATATAATATTGGCATATACAATGTATACAATTATACAAATAATCTATAGTGTACTGTATAGAAACCATTTCACATATTATACCCATTGCTTACATTAATTTCTAAAATACAAGACCTATATGTTTCTAATGTATATATTATAAAAGCAGAAAAATTATCCTTACGGACGAAGAAATAATATAAAATAGATGACTTAAAATACATGTACACATATAATGTCTTTGTTTAAAACACATACATGTGACATAAGGTTAATGGCTAAATGCACATACTGATTTTTTTACTTTTTTCCTGTCACAACAGTACTTACATGAGCAACATGTACCTGTCCCAACGTCATTGTGTTGTCAAGATCTGTACAATTAAAGAATCGGCTGCAAACTGAAACATATTCCTATATATACGTACGCCCCCGTATAAGACCATCCCTAGACAGGATGACAAAATTCCTACATGTTAAGTCATACTTGTTGTTTGGTTCAAGTGCACCAGGATTTAAATGTACTTTGTTGACCCTCCGGCATGAGCGTGCATCATATCCTGAACACCATGTTAATAATGCCCTATTGCAATTAAAATAAACGGAAATAAAAAAAATATCACAATCAGTCACTGTGACTGATCCCCCGGTGGGTGTTATCTTCATTGCGTTGGAGAATTATAAAACATGTATGCAAGTTATTTATAGGCCCTACAGCAATAGGGCTACATGCTTGAATTCATCTGTATACATACATTACAGTAACAGTAGATAATTAATACGTGTATAAGTTTCCCTTCACTTTAGAATTTATGATGTGACATTTGAATTTTCACTTTTTCAAGCTTCTGGTGAAATTAACATCTATCCAATTAAAGCACACATGCTAATGAATTATGTACAGATTTAGCTTATCTTCAAATAGATGATAAATATTGACAAAGTTTTATCCTAAACTACCGGTATAGTTATCACTTGAATTTAAGTTTAATATGTGCAGGAGCTGTCAAACAATCAGAGCTCAATATGCTAAATAATCACGCATAGATTTTGCTCATCTTTAACATCCACCCCTGAAGACACATTTGAACTCTTCTAATTTAAAGGTTGGAATAGTTCATTATGAAACTTCAGGGGTGAATTAGTTAAACTAGCCTTAGTCCTTCTATATTGCACATAAACATACTTTCCAAGTTTCATCAAAATCAAATGATATTTAGCAAGTTATCTAGTGGAAACCAAAGTGTGCAGATGGACAGACATACATGTATGCTCCAATCACCAATTAATAATCCATCAAAATGTTGATGTGTACAATGTACATACATATATATAGAAAGACAATGTTAATTATGAACTTAAATTGAAGTGGATGAGGTTTAATTGTTGTCAAGAAATAAATATTTACATTTATTCCATTCATGCACGACACTCCTTAGACTAAGGAGTACTAGTGTCGTGCATGAAAATAAATGTCATGTCAGAGTCACAGAAAATTTCGAAATATTACAATAGTACTTGTAAATGAGATGAAATCCCGTAATTGGTTGTTTAGAATATTATAATTATTACAGAGTACTACATGTACTGGAGCTGAAAGTTCATAAATGTTATCTAGCTCAAAATGCATACATAGATTTGAGTTACACAGAGACTTTCAAATGAGGCCAGAGAGAGCAAGATACCACCCAGCTAATGCATTGTTATGCTTCCAGTTAGCCAGCCAAAAATGTCAAAATTGCACATTGTATTTATATTTCTGTTGCATTGTGCAGCTGATCCATCATCATTACAATCTCAAGACATCTAACTCTTAGTTGTAGCAGAACATGTTACACCCACATGGGAAGGTTGTCAAATGCTATGTCGTCTACTCAGACAGGGGTTTGTTGGTATCACAAGGACCATTCCTTGCTGCCGTATAAGTGCCCAAAGCTTGCCCAATTGATAAGCATTGAGTCGTTTGTGTGTACGTCATCATGCAAGTCAATTTAATTTAGCTTGAGCACACTATGGAATGATGTTTATTGTTGTTATGGTGATGGAATATGGTGACTTTTGTTTTGAGATGTTGAGATGAACATTTTGCAGGCAGTTGCTTCATAAAACTTGACTGCCGTAGACAAATGGAAGTTTGAATGGGACCCATTTTCGGATGAAATATTCAAACCTTTTTTCTTCTTTTTTATTTTTTACGTTATAGACAGGATGCCATTTTCCAACAAGAGACCCAGAGGTCCTGTATCATTGAAAACATTTTCATGAAGAAACTAGAATTATGTCAGTGTGACATTACAGCCGCTCACCACTTTAAATTTAATTGCTTCAGTGACACGTTGAGCATAAAAATCTACTATAATAACTCAGATATGTGTTCTGTATTCTGCTAATTGAAAATCAGGTCATCTGATGATGTTGCGTTTAGGATTTTCAAAATCAATCACCTCTTAAATGATGCCTTAAAAACATTTCTCCCTCTCCTCTTTTTTCACCCTCTTTAAGTGTGACGCATTGTTGTAATTTTCATTAATTAGCATCCTCCAATGATGTGACATGAGCGTTTTCGTGCAGAATGGCAATCGGTGAATGAATAATAAAGAATAGGTACATTTTTTGCTTGTGAAATGAAGGATAATTAACAGTAGTGGGAAAACATGCACCGAGAAAAGAGACATTGTACTCCTTTTATTTATATTTATTTTTTATTCATATTAGTGAAAATTATTAATATTTGTAGCGACTATATTTACCGTCATTGAATATACAAAATCTCACAAATGTTCTTGGAATATATTTGAATTATATTTCCCAATGCGACTTTACCAACGTAAGAGTTATTTCCCTTACACCCAATTGGATACTATTTTGACACGGCGCGAATTCTTGTCAAACAGCAGCGGCAGTTGTGTCATGTTCTTAAATTGTTACACTTTCATAAATAAATACACCAGAAATAGCATGCTGTGTTACAAAAATGTTTGATAAGCATACACAGTTCACATATCGTCTCGTCTCGGAGCCATTAGTCTACCGTTATCAACCTAAGCACGATATGGCATATATAGGTTACCGTTTCAAACATCAAAATAGAGTTTATACTTCATCACTCATACGGTTTATAAGTTTATATATTTACTTCTTCCTTCTACAGACAGCGTCAATGCTTGACAGTCTTCACATGTGCTTTCTCGAATCATGTGTTTCACACGCGTAACACTCCCCAAACCGCAATCCGAGTTGCTAAAACGCTCAAACCTAGTGCACGAATTTCACCACCACAACACTCGTAGAATGCACCGGAGATAAACATTTTGTTTTCAGCAATTATTTAAAGTATGGATTATTATTTGGAGAAGAGTATCAGAAGACTTTATATAACCCACAGGTGAGTGTCAGAGATTCTACTTTCTATTTACGATAACGAAACTATATAGCGGAAGCATGCAATACTGAATTATGCGCACGCACCCCGAACGGAAGTGGGTCCGTCATTTCATTCTCTGGACAGAATTAATAAGCCGCTCGGCTCTCGCCAAGAGCGGCTTAAAAATATTTAAATAGTTCCCATCAACTAAGTTCCTTTTTTAGAGGGTAGGGGCAGACCCCAAGGCTAATCCTGGTATATGTAGCATACATGTATGTGATTTTATCATTTCACTTACATGTCAAGCAATTGTATTTATGGGTATGTAGTGAGGATCCCAACCACTTCAAAGTTAAAACACTTTGACTAAATCCCAATTAAGTGATGGAGAGAGACTAAAGCTCCTAACCTGGTAACAGATGTTAAAATAATTAATAATATAAACATATTACTATAATTTTAGGGTATAGTAGGGATCTCAATAATTTCAGAATTATTATTTAAGTCCCCATGCAGAATACCTGTTTTTGTCTCTTTATACCTGCACTGCAGCTGGCATACATCATCAGGTTATAGCATTACGATCTCAACAATTTCAAAGATATTTCACATCCATTTGGGCCCCAACCATCTGCTTGAGGGATTCAGCTCCTCAATTTGTATAAGTAACTGTACATGTAGAGTCCCTAACATGTGCACCTGAGAATGCTTCAAATCAAATACTATTGGTATCCATTCCATAGTTCCAGAGGAGAATTGTTCAGTAATATGACCAAATAACCCTTTTGTGACCCTGCACCTTAGCCCCAAGGGGGTCAGTCCCTCCATTTGTACAATTCTGAATTCATCCCATCCAAGGATGCTTCCAGTCAAATTCAGTGAATTTCTGTTAAACAGTACAGATGAAGTCCTTTTAAGAAGTTTTTTCAGACAACAGATGGATGAACGCTACAGTTCTATCGAAAGCTCACCTTGATCCTTTAGACCAGGTGAGCTTTTTAAATCCAATGTTGAAGCCACTCCAATGAAACGCAGCTATGGCATTAGGAACATTTTTAAACTTGTACCTATATATATATAGTCAATATTAACCCTTTAAATCCTAGGTAACTCTAATGGGATCTACCATGCATTTGTCAGGATGAGTCCATTATGGTCTATGGTGGTGAAAGGGTTAAATGTTATTGTTAACTAAGTTTTATGATGGGATATATATATAGATAACAGCCTTTTCCTTTGCAGTGATTCTTGACTGACAATAAAGCTGACAGTGCAAGGTAAAAAGATTTAATTTAATTTTCATTTGTTTTCTTGTTTTGAGATCTTCCCCATCACTTCCGATTATCGTTTCTAAGGAAGTGCCGACATTTTAGTTTGTCCTTGCTTGGTAACGAGTAAAGGTTATGCAGAGTATAATCAAAGTACTGAAAGTACTGAAAGCTAAGGCAAAAGATATATATATTATTTTTGGAATGGAGAACAAAATAAAGACGAAGTTCCAATCATATTGTACAGAAGGATTTACTGTTAATTTGTTATGAATCAAAGTTTTATGTAAAAGTGTACCACTGTGAAGTTATTCTTCTTGTGTGTACAGTATATCTTTATAGGTTTGTCAGAAGAGTGGTACCAAGTTTCCTCTAGAATATATCATTTTAAACCTTTGGATAATTAATTTGCATAGGAATTTGGAATTGCTTCCCTTTGTCCATACAATGTATTTCATAGAACATTAAAAACTGAAACTGGCATTTACCCCTTTGACCAATACCTGATTATTTTAAACCATTGAATAGATTATGCACAGATTGTGAACATCTTTGAACTTTGCCTTTGTTGTTGAATAAGATATCAACCCTTGCCTTATCTAACAAAGTTACTTGGCATAAAACCATTGACCAATCAGAGTACAGTATGCTAATTAATTAGGCATGGATTTCACTCAACTTTGAACTTATCGTCTAAGTTTGTATATTGATCAATATATATTCAAGCAAGTTATCTTGTAAAGTGTGCACATCGACCAGGGTTGGCATGCTTTTTAATACGTGTGAATTTTGTTCAAGTTTCAATTTTGCATCAGTCAGTGTATATT